ACAAAGTATTTTTCTTCCTTTGAAGCCCACGTCAAAATCACAGAAACATCGGTTGTGAATCCATTCCAATTTCGCATGGAAAATGGATATGTAACTTCTGGTCTTAGTGATTTTTTATTGCTTTTATCAATCATCATCAAAGTATGTAACCCAAATTTTCTTTGACAAATTCTTATTCTTCCCTTCGTGACACCTTCGGTGAGATAAAGTACATAGTTCCCATATTTTTAGTCATTTATAATTATGTGTGCTTGAATTTAGTGGAAGGAACATGTGTCCATCATAAAAAATTAGTTTAACTTATAGGTCGAATGTCCACTCTACACAAGCCTGTTCTAGCCTTTTTTTAGAGATCACAGGATTATTTTTTGATATTTTTTGCTCAATTTCAGCACTTTTTTAAAACATACCATAAATTTTTAGACAACTAATATGCAATACGCAAAAATATAAGCCAATTGATATTTCATCAGAAAACTCATCCTAAATTTTTCATAGGAATCAATCGATGCATACAAAGAGAATACATGACATATGCTCTGCTAGGGTTTTTTTCCCTCCGCGGTGATTTCAGTTTTTCTACTGTCTTTGTGCCTTCCGCCTCCTCATCTTCAATCAGGGAAGTGATGTTGTGCCTTCCTTGTTCCTTTTCTATGTTTTTTCGTGTATGTTATTTTTTATGGCTGGTTCAAAGTTGGTTGATGTCGGTTTTCTTACAGGTTATTCATCCTCTAAGTCTTTTTGAGACGATCTTTCATGTAAAATTTCTTTCTTCCCTAATTTGAAGATTTTACTCATCATGGGATGCCTTCCTTATGGATTTCTGAGCCATAGGTTCTTCCTCTTGTCGTTCCATTTGAGTTCAGGTTGGTTGTGAAGTTTTTGTCCCACTGGCCATCCCTTGAAGCTATTAGGAATTTTTTTTTCAATCTTAAACTCAATGGTGATTTCTTTGTTATAGTGCTCAATGCTAAGAATGTCTTGATTAAATTAGCGAATGATCTGGATTACTACCATATTTTTGTACATTATTCCTATTTTATTAACAATTTCTATATGTGGTTGATCAAGTGGTCGCATTTGTTTAATGTGGATGTTGAATCCACTATCATCCCTATTTGGATATCTTTCTCGAATTTGCAACCTCATATGTTCTCTCCTAAGATCCTTCAGGGTCTCGGTTCCACTTTTGATCGCCCTTTCAAAATTGATCAGGCTACCTCTGTTGGTTCTAGTCCCTCTGTTACTTATGTTTTGATTGAATTAGATGTTTTAAAACATTTTCTGGAAAAAAATTTGGTTAGCCCGAATAATTTGGAGCATGTTCAGTCGATTTTTGAATATATCCATTAACGGTTGTGCTGCCCACTTCACTTGCATGATAAAATATTTGCCTTCTAATTTAGTCATAGAAGATCAATATGTCGACTCTTGATTAATATCCATAAAATCAACATATAAATTTATCTCTTGATGAGAGTCATAATACTCTACTTCCATTTCACTTATAAAAGAATTACTAATTAATTCATCAATTTCCTAGAAATAAAAACCCAAAGAAGATAGCTCATCCATCATATCTTGATGTTCTTTTCCTTCAACCTTCCATTCTTCATCTTCCTCTTCCTGCTATTCATCAACGTCTTCATCTTCCATCCATTTTTTCTCTTCCTCGTTTACATCTTGTGTATTAGAATCATACAAACGAGAATCTTTTGAACTCTTTTGCAAGTCCCATCCTCCTGGCATCCCACTCGAGCTTAGTCTGGGAGATTCCATGTCCTAGTCTACAAAGACTTTTTCTTCCTCTAAAGCCCACGTCAAAATCACATAAACATCGATTATGAATCCAATGGTTTCACATCAAAAGTTGGTATGCAACTTCCAGCTATGACGATTTTGTATTGCTTTTATCAACCATCATGCAAGTATGTAACCCAAATTTTTTTTGACAAATTCTTGTTCTTCCCTTCATGACACCTTATGTGAGATAAACTACATAGTGCTCATGTTTTTAGCCATTTATAATTATGTGTGCTTGAATTAAGTGGGTGGAACATATGCCTATCATAAAAATTAGTGTAACTTAATTATAAGTCAAATGTCCACTCTGCACAAGCCTATTCTAGCATTTTTTAGGGACCTTAGGATTATTTTTTGATATTTTTTTGCTCAATATTAGTACTTTTTTAAGACATAACATAAATTTTTAGAGAACTACTATGCAATGCGTAAAAATATAAGCCAATTGATATTTCATCAAAAAATTTATCTTAGATTTTTCATTGGAATCAATCGATGCATAAAAAGAGGATACATGACATACGCTCTGCTAGGGTTTTTTTCCCTCTGTGGCGATTTCAGTTTTCCTGCTTTGTTTTTGCCTTTCGCCGCCTTCTCTTTGGTCAGGGAAGTGATCTTGTGCCTTGTTCATTTTATGTGTTTTTTCGTGTCCGTTATTTTCGATGGCTGGTTCGAAGTTGGTCGATATTGATTTTCTTGCTGGTATTTCATCCTCTAATTCTTTTAGAGATGCTCTTTCGGGTAACATTTCTTCCTTCCCTGATTTGAAGATTTATACTCCTCGTGGGATGCCTTCCTTGTGAATTTCTGAGGTTGAGGTTCTTTCTCTTGCTGTTCCATTTGAGTCCACATTGGTTGGAAAGTTTTCTTCCCACTGGCCGTCCCTTGAAGCTATTAAGATTTTTTTTTTTAATCTTAAACTCAATGGCAATTTCTCTATTAGAGTACTCAATGCTAAGAATGTCTTGATTAAATTAGCGAATGATTTGGATTATTGTCATATTTTTGCGCGTTGTTCCTATTTTTTTAACAATTGCTATATGTGGTTGATCAAGTGGTCACCTTCATTTAATGTGGATGTTGTGTCCCCTGTCGTCCCTATTTGGGCGTCTTTCCCAAATTTACGACCTCATATGTTCTCTCCTAGGATCCTTCATGGTCTTTGTTCCATTTTCGATCGCCCTTTACAAATTGATCAGGCTAACTCTGTTGGTTTTAGGCCCTCTGTTGCTCTTGTTTTGATTGAATTGGATGTTTCAAAATATTTTTCAGACAAAGTTTGGGTTGGCCTAGATAATCAGAGGTATATTAAGCCGGTTGTTTTGGAGGATGTTCCGTCTTATTATTTGCATTGCAAAGCTTTCGGTCACTCTAATGCATATTGTTTAGTTTTGCATCTATATTTGGTAAAGGCACGTAATGTGACCGAGCCTATTAAAAATGTAGTTTCTAGAATCGTTGTGGAATCTGGTTTGAACATTAGTTTAGTCTAGTCGATTGCTAGTCCTGTTGTGTCTCCTATTTCTCTGGAGGTTTGTTGTGTTGATAGCTTTGCGACTGTTGTTGCCAATGTTGATAATTTAGCTATGTTGTCTATTTCTACGGATATTAATTCTGTTATTAGTATACCCCCTGTGTGTGTTGTGCCTGCTGAACCTATTGCGGGGAATGTTGTTGGTATGGAGGGGTACCTATCTATTCCTAATATGTCTCCTATCAAGGTGTTGAATTATCCTGTATTAAGTACTTCTTCTCCCCCTACCCTTGTTGTGTCATCTCTTGTTATGGTTAATTCTTCGAATGCTGCGGTGGCTGTTAATTTTGGTCTTTTGGAAAATTTGGCTGGGATGGAGGAATTTGTTCGGGGGGGTTCACCTGCTGTTACTATTCCTATTTTAGCTCAGGTGGACTCTATAGTGGTTGGGGATGTTTGTATTGCCCAAACCCCACGTTTGTGTTAGTGACGTTAATGTAATGAATTGTGGTGTGAATTTGAAACCTGCTTTGTCTTATGCAGTTTATGTGCATGTCCCGTGCAGTTTGGCCACTGCTGAACTACCTTGTGTGGTCGCTGAGTAGTCTGGTTCTTCCGTTTCCATTACTAGTATAATTGCACGTGCATTAAATGCATGTTAATAAAATTTAAATAATTAAATAATATTATAAAATTATAAATAATATTTAATTAATTCAGAATTTTTGAATTCTATAACTACTCTTATTTGTGTTTGATGGCAATATTGTTTCTTCCCTATTATAAATCATATGGCATATATGAAAAAAACTGATATAATTTGTTTCCTATATGAGAATAATAATTTTATTTAAATAAAGTATATTGAATGCAATAATAAATAAAAATTTGATATGATTATTATAAGAATAGCACGTTCTTAATAAAAATAAAAATCTATTTATTACATACCTAAGATTTTAATATTAATATTTAAAATTTCATCATTAAGGCTTATATTATTATTGAAGTAATATGTAAAATATAAATATTAAATATAATATATAAATAAAAAAACCAAGACTTTAATGTTAAAAATATTACTAATAATCTTATGAGTTTAAATTAATTTCTTTACTATTAATTATACAAAATTGAAAATTTATGAGAAATATAGGAAATTGCAGCCAATGACTCTCTCTCTCTCTCTCTCTCTCTCTCTCTCTCTCTATATATATATACTTGTTTTATTTCACGTGCATTAAATGCACGTGTAATAAAATTCAAGAAAATTAAATTTTTTTTTTTTGAAAAAATTTAATCATACTTTCTTTCATTAAAAAGATAAAATTATTAATTTTATTCATATAAGTAATTATAATTATTAATTATATTAATAAAAAACTATAAACATTATTCTTATATATATATAATAATTGTGTAGATAATAATATTTGTTATGTTTGCTAAATTTAACCCCAAACCAACTTATATTGGACTATTAAATTGAGCATATTCTAATTTTATTAAATTATATTATAAGTTATACTCTTTGGTTAGGCCATACTCTCGAAATATTCAAACATGAAAAAGACGACCCAATTTGAAACATTTATAATAATGAATAGAACAGATAAATGTTACGCTACTATTGTCAAATAAAAACAACAATAAATTTTTTACACTATTCACCATTGTTCATTAAAAAAAAAACTCACAAAGAGGGGAGTTTTTATTGATTCATTCATCCAGTGAATTCCTCCGGCAAGTGACCATTAACAATACACATACACTTACGGAGAAGAGCAACAAAAAGCCCCTACATTAAACAATACACTTACGAAAAAGGACAATTGATGCAACATAGGAATAACAATATTTCAGAAGCAATTTTGTGTTTAAAAGCAGCCCCCTCCATATCCAAAGCCATCTTTGTATTCCTACAAGACGCGAAAGTTTTAAGCTGTAAGCTAATTATTCCAAGCAAATAATGGGCACGAAAACTTCTTATCTTTGTACACAACCCATTAATTTTTGCTAGATGTTCCTATAATGCTTGTGTCGTAG